TGGCCATCTTGAATCAGATCGTGAAACAAATTGACGTGCATATGTATACTATCATGTATGATGTATGTGTGAAGTTTGATTGTGATTGGTCCAGGCATTTCTAAGATACAGGTCCAGACGCACGCACTGACGCACGCACGCACGGACACACAGAGGTCAAAACATAAGTCTCCGTTTTCGGACTGCGTCCGAACGGGGACTAATAATTAGTACTAGGTTCTTCCTAAGTAGACTCATATGCCTGTATGCTATTTAATATTTACACACCCAAAACAAATACTTTACAATGTCACGCCAGGTTGCCATGGCTTTCTTGTTCGGTCTGTATTAATTAATTCAGTCAAATATGCAAACTGCATGATACTGCGTCATTGACAGTTTCTATAATTGTAGTCAAAATGAACATAATTTCCAAGGGGCTGCAGGTCTTAATTAGATATGTTGTCAAGGGTAACAAAAGTAGACTTCAGCATTCAAGGCTAAAGAACATCTCCAAATACTGCTGCCTTTTGCCACCAAATATTTGTGGCTACAAATCGCAAAGGATTATTGGACTGTGCGGTAGGTAATCAAGCACAGTAACAAATTGCTTCTAGTTGGACTTCAATTTATGGCAGTACAGTAATCTTTTTTGTTAGACTTTGTTTAGGAAATATATAAGCAGTCATGATGCCTTGTAAGTCCTCCAGTGCTAATTGCGCATGTAGTTTTGTTACATCGTCTTTATCGTGTTGTACAACGTACTTCAACATGCCGTACATATCCTTCAGAACATGTTCCAATATCTGAAATGAACAACGCATTGCTAAATTACAGATTTTGCCTTTCAAAGCTGCACTCTGAGATCATTGTTTATGACCATAACGTACCAATTTGATTAAAATCTGATGTAGGTAATCAAGGAGACTAAGATACGATATATAAAAAACTTAATAACAGTAAGTAAAACCAAAAGACATAAATAAACAAAATTAACAATAAAAATAATATAAAAAAAAATTGAGCCTATACGTACATCTGTTTTCTATATGATTGAGAACGTACCAACCTGTTAACTTTCTATAGTTTGTATGTACCTATTGTATTGGTAAGATTTATTGCGAAAGTTGGCCCTGCGACGAGTGTTATTTTAAAACCACATGATTTCAAACCTCCCATGAACCTATCACTGCTTGAACTATATCAGTTTAGGTTTCCATTGATGTTATGTAAACATCGAAAAAACTCAAATTAACACAAAATGACAAATTACTCCATGACTTTTTAATTAATGATTGTTAATTAATTATCTTGTTCCAATGCTTTTTTACATATGACTTTCGAAAAAATGCATTTTTAACTCATTTCTCCACTGTTGACCTCTTAAGGTAGAAGCCTACTCATAATTTTTTTAGAAAATTGGTCATAAATCACATTACAAAGTTTATGTACAATCATGAAGCTATAGTCTCATGGCACATATTTTTTTGTGTACAGTGACCTATTTTCCAAATTCCATATAGCACAATGTTAAAAAAAATTGCATTTCAAAGTTTTTGAAATAATTCAGGACAACAAAATGTACAAAGTATGTTTTTAATCAATGATCGTTTATTGGATTTTATTGGAAAATGAATAAATTCTTGGCATTTTCATTCATGAGTAGGCTTCTATCCTAATAAATCTCTTCTATGTGAAAATCCTACCTCTATACTCTCTTGCTGAAGTCCACATAAAAGCTGACGTATAACATGTACAGCAGCTCTTCTGACTTCATTCACATCATCTGTTTTAATCACATGACTAATGCAGTTCAAAATCTTAGAAAATAAATAATGAATCGTGAGTTTTGTATTCAAGATTAGATGTCGTCTCTGATCAGAAGTGTTTTTGAAAAATCTATGAATAAAGGACTAGTCAAGTAAATCAGTCCGGAGTGTTGTGGGTGGGCCTTACATACAGGACAGTCTGTGCATGCATGTTCCCATGGTAATGCACTGAAGTGATGGAGACAGCCAATCAGTGATGATACAACATTCTATGCTAAGTACGTAGTTGCATTCAAACAGACACAGTAACTTTTAAGGAATTCAGGGATAAACAAAAAACTAGGTTCTGCTCATTTGCTTCAAAGTCTGGCAGGTGACATTACATAAACTCATTTTTGTAAAGTCGCATGTGATGAAAAATAGCTGCTCTGGTAGCTATGATAATATACTGATATATAGGAGTCTTTCCTCAACCTCAACAATCAATAATCCAGGAAAATACAAATTTTATTGCCAACTCACTAGCATTACCTAATCACACAATAGCTCCAATTGCTTAATAACAAAATATATTACATTGAAACTTGTTCAAATCTCAGGTAATAAAATTGGGAACAGTTTATCATAATGTTAATGTACTACAGATCTTGAAACTCCAAAATTAATAATAAACTAACTTTATTAATTGGTCAGGACCTACATACCTCATGAATAACTGATGATATGGCTGCTTTCAGTACGTAGCAGAGTTCAGCAAGATTTGATAGACTACTGGATCTGATATCTGAACAGTCCTCCTTAGCACCTGATAGTAACACTCCTATTAATTGCTTGGTGTAGACTGGTAACATGGCACCTAGATCAAGAAAAAATCGTCAACAAAATGTTGCAGACAGTTCCATTCCATACATATACTGTACACCTCTTTAGCAAATTTTGAATATCAGTGACTTTCATGAAATTTTGTCTTCATGAATGCTATAAAATTGCAAAAACTTTCAAACAGTGAAAAAAAAAATGTTTTAGTTGTGGGATAGCCACAAGTTTATTAGACATTTCTGAGGCCAATTTAAAATCAGCCAATGTAAAAAAGTCTGTGATTTTCCAGCAGCTGCTATGAAACATCAATTTTCCTCAACAAAAAAAGAGAAAACAGAGACGATATATATGGCAACCGATTCAGGATTTGTTTCCCTCATGACCACTGGTTTCCATAAAGACAAAAATAAAGAGAATTTTTGTTTGAACACCCGTGATAATTTTTTTTCGCAACATTTTTGGTGCAACATTTTGTTTATTTTCAGGTATTTTTTTGGTATTTTTGTTGACAATTAAATATGCGAGTATTGAATTGCGATAATGATAAAAGTTGACATTGGTACTCAAAAACTGTAATTTGAATTTATTAATGAATGGAGAATTTCAGTCATTGAGTTTTTAATGCGACTGGCAAATTGGCTTCTGCAAGTATTCCGATGTCAAATAAGAAACAGTCTAAACCCAGTCCTGGGTTTAGTTGAAATTTTAGAAGAGTGGATCAATACTTACCAATTCTTTGACTTGCCCTCATCAAAGCTTCACCAATTTTTAATCTCATTTCTACGCTATTCTTGTCTGATCTATATTCCTGACACAAGAGCGCCATCACAGGTTGCGTATTGACATCAACCAGAGCGACTAAACCTTGTATTACAGACAAATACATGTAAGAATCATCGCTATGGAGATTTTCTTGAAACACATCTAGCAATGATTCTTTCATTTTTAGAGCCTGTTCATCTTTTCTGTCTAACAGTTTTGTAATTTTACGAATAGCATGGGCTCGAACGGGTAGTAGTGGATCTTTTAATTCTGTAAACACAGTGTCAAAGTTCACGTACTCATCATGTCTTGTTTCCTGACATGCCGATTTCACGTCACTCTTTTTAACAGATGGTGGACTACTTTCATCTTCTTGTGATGCTTCGTCTGATAAATTATCTTTTTTTCTTAAAACCTTTTGTTGTCCATTCCTCTCAGGTTTCGCACCTTTGACCGTGTCACATGAAGTGTTCAGCTTCATAACTCCGTGCGTTGCTATGGCAATCTGTAAATCTGTGGTCATCTCCTTGATCAGTGGCTCATCAAATGTGGCAGCCAGTTTTCCAAGTATTGGTATTAGCTTTTTTAACTGGACAGACTCGTCCGAGTTCATCTGTAAAACGTAGATTTAGGCATGAATATTAATTGCCAACAATTGTATGCTAGTCAAAACCATGACACTCATTGTGACATGCATTTCACAAAACAAGTTCATTAATATGCATTATGCATGACATAATTGAGGAGTAAAGTTTGAGCATGATCAACCAAAGCATGCCAGGAGAAGGCTCCTGAAGAGCATTCTACAAAAACCTCCACCGGTTGATCACTTCAAATATTGAAAAGAAAGTAATGTGAATCCTGGAATAGCAGAAATGCTGGATTCTAATAAATTATTAGCACTTGGCTATTTTGAATCACATCAGGAAAAAATGTATGGGCTAATACGTGTAACAATATGTATGTGTGAAAATTTAACATGTCAGAGGCATGAGAAAAATGAAGACAGACATTCCAAGATGAATCTATAATAACACATTTTTTTGGATTTTGTCTGAAAGGGGACCTTGAATAAACCTTGCATAATATTTGTGCAAAACCTTATGTGTTATAGAGCAAAAATGGGTGATGCAGCATCCTTTATTTTCTAATAATTCAATGGATATGATGACACAATATACACAGATACAGCACAATTCTAAAAAGCATAATTTTACCTGTGGATTTAGTTGGTATACCAACAACAGTATTCCTAGTATCATAGTAACAGTATCATTTACTATAGCGTCATCCACGTTATCACCAGTGGCACGAACCTCGCACATCCTCTCCAATGTTGTGGCTATAAACTCCAGTATTTGACTCGTTCGTTGAAAGATACTTTCTCCCAGTCTCTCGCACATAAGTGATATCAGAGACATCACATTAATGGTATGCATATAATTCAGACTTTCCATTGACAGCTGATTTTCTAATTCTAGCAATGTTTGCGAATCACTCACACCTGTGTGTGTATTTGTATCTGATCTTCTTGCACAACAACCTAGAATCGATGTGAATTCCTGGAAAGAAGGTAGTTACGTGAATCAAAACAAGATGTACGTATAAAACTATGAAAGGATAGGAAATTAAATACCATAGTTTTTCATATATAATAAATTAAAAAACCTGGGTATTTCAGTTTCAGTACAATCAGGCATACATGTTAACTGTGTCTATCTGCAAAGAGGAATGTTGATTTGAAGAGAACACTACTGATGATGTCACTGTTGACGCTAAAGACCAAATAAACAGGACATGCACAACTGACGACACTTGAGAGAAAACACAACTTTTGATGAGACAAATGGGACACAACTGGTGACATACCTTAAGTACTTGCATAAAGAAATCCGCCGTCAATGACTTATTCTTCAAACTCTCTAACAGTTCTATCAGTGATGTCATAGTGCACTCAAAATCTCTATCACAGTCACTGAAAGGAATAGAAGTTGTGCATTACTTAGTATAATTGAAATTTAAGAGGTATGGACACCTACTTTTTTAGTCTGGTAATAAACATTGTAAAATAGTCAGAAATAATGAAAAAAAACACAGAAAGTAGAACAATTTTATTTCCATTTATTGAAGCCTTAACGCATTTCCATCGTGTTCCTTCTAATAAGAGGGTCGGCAAGGGGTATTTTCGTAAGCTGTAATCAATTGTTTTTATCTCGTAATAATGTAATTTAAATAAATAAAGAATGTAAATTCATGTACATAGACAAGGTGTAAAATGTAATCAGCTATTTCATTCGTCCGTAATTTGTACAAAAATATTATTTTTTGTAAGTGTATAAAGCATTTTCAACATTCAATGCGCAATTTGTACGCAATTTTCAATTTTGATTCTTAAACACAAATTATCAAATATATTATAAAAATGTAAAATGTAATTATCTGTAAATTTTCTATAAAAACGTAAAATGAATTTTTTATATCCTGTAACCTGTACCAGCTACCCCACCTCTAATAGAGCATTATTGGATGGAAACAACTGTGATAGCGCCCTCAATGGTTACCATACCTGCTGCTTATCTCAATCACAATACCGCCCTCAGACCCTGGTGTGAAACACACACGCTCATTCATAGTGGTGAGTAGCGGTGACTTCTTGAAAGCAAATACCAGGCTTGATAAATACTCTAAACTGAGCTCTCTATCACTTTGGTTGAAAAAAGTTTTCAAAATCTCTTCCAATTGAATTCTGAAAAAAACACACACAAAAAATATTTATTGATTGTGAACCACAATGCTTATTTCCAATTTAAGTAAAATTTAAGAATAGTTTTCAAAAGTTTTGATAGTCAACTCTGGGAACACATTCACAACTAGCTTTTGTGTAAAGTTCTAGAATAGAAGCATCTGTTGACATGCGCAACCTCCTCCAAAACACTACTCCTCCCACCCCAACTAAAAAATGTCTTTCTGAAAAGATAAAGTACGAGAAAAGACTGAACCATTGCCATCACATGCTGTCATAATGTGTTTGTACAGTGTCAACAAAGTAGGTATGAATCTAATAGAGAATACAAGTCTACAATAAATGGACATTAATTGGGATTAATTATTTTAAGCTGATGAAACAAAAAACAACATGGGTAAACTTCATTGTTTGTTTACATGGAATACAAAACGAACAGTGCAACTAGTGTGGAACTTTTGAAACAATCATATCTTGTTTTGCTTTTAAATTTACATCTACGTACATCTCTCCTGTATCCTGTAGTGTTAAAAGTCATTCAGAGTAATATTTTTTTATCTTACCTGAGATGTGACACACCATTCAGTGAATAACAATACATTTGAAATAATGGTTGTAAGATAGGTTTCAATGAAGACACCATGGTATGGTCAGTATTGCAGCAACATACGTGATATATATCATGTATACTTTGGGTCACTTGTGTTTCATGTGATAGAATAGTGTCGCTGTCTCCGGTGATATCACCTATAATCAGAATTATATTTCAGATTAATAAATGTTTTATTTTTACACTATGAAATCTAATTTATTTTGTTTTGTTTAACTCATATTGGTCACAAATTTTAGGTGTAATTTTACTTCAAATTACACCAAATACCAGTAATAAATCTAGGCACAAGAATCATTTTAAAACTGTAGGAACAAAATATTATCGTAGTTACATAGTTATCATCAATACTGAAAATTCAAATCTGGGGATACTATTGAAAGGTGTTTTATGTGTACATTTATATCCAGGGTTTAAACAAGTCCCATGAGCTCACAGGCAATGGCCAAACAAATGAAAGCATGTTCAAGAAAGATTGGATAAACAAAATTGGCAAATAAAAGACAAAAAAGAGATTTTTAGGAAAAATTTCTGTTCTTGATGCAACAATATAGACCCTATAATCTATTACGAGGTTTAAAATGAAACAAATGAGGGTGAGGGGGTAGGTCCTTCTATTTATGTTAACTATAGAAATAGTTCTCAAGCCAAATTTTCACCCACACCCAAACTACAAATCGTACATTAGTTTGAAATGATACCTTGCTAGGTATTGTGAAATAATGAATTTCAACAATCTGACACTGAGGGCGCTAAAGAGGCCCATGTCTTGAGGACATACAGTTGGGTGTTAGTAATAACAAGAATGTTTTATTATTACTCACCAATGCAGATTTGGAAAGGATGATACAATTCCTGTATGATGTACTTTTGTGTTAATTCTCGATTTGTAAGAAACATGTTAGTTATACAGTGACTTGCAACTCGATATATCAATGGTGATTGTAAGTCATCGTGATGGCGCAATAATCCTAATACCTGGTGAAAAATAAAGAAATCTTTGTATGTAAAATGCTAATCAAAACAAGACAATCAAGACAATATTTTCCACATATTTATGTATTTTCCTACAAATTCTTCATAAATTTTCAAACAAATGGGCATAAGTTGCAATTAGCTACAGATTTTGATCAACATTTTGGAAGAAATTTGAAAAAAATTATGCAGCTTTGATTTGTAAAAGGCGACTACAAATTGGTTTTCAAATGGTATCTGTATGCAACACATAAGCACACATAGGTATTTTTTAAAATTGAACAATTTTGTTAAACATTGAAGTAACAACATGATTTGCAAATGTCTTTGTTTGTTCATGATAATGGCAAGTTACCACCAGGGTTTCCTCAATATTTCTATTCCATCAAACACTCTTATCACACAAAATCAAAATCATTAGGTAATCTTATTATTCCAAAATACCATACTAATTCGAGACAACATTCAATCAAATATGCTAGAGCTAAACTCTGGAATGAATTTCCAGAAAAAATTCGTTCCATAAGCTCAAGAAATTCATTCAAAAATAAAATGAAAAGATTTTTAGAGTATGCATAATTGAGTTGTATGTAAATTTTTTTAACGTCCACTTATTATTGTAGTTTGTTTTTAACCTAGAAAAGCGGGTGGACTCGACTGGTGTTTTACACTTTTTTCCAGCCTCCGATTCACTGTGTATTTCAGTGTTGTTTGTATTGTAATCTTTTATCAATATTGCCTGTAAATTAAGTGAATAAATTCATTCAATCAATCAATCAATCAAAAAAACTACATAACAGCTTCTGAAATCTTCCTTGGATAGCTGATGTGAATCGTATGTACTGTTAATGTATTAATTATTCACACGGTTTAAATTTCGCTATTTTCACTGAAATTAAATCTGTGTGAACATGTAAAATAACAATAAAACTCATTGTTTCCTCGAGAAATTCGTGCTCAAATGCTCGGAACATCAAAATAATGAAATTAAATGTTAGTGAAAATAAATGGTTTTACACTAGCACTATCTGCAGGAATGTGTTAAAGATGAAATATTTTTCAAATTATTCATGGATCTGTAAATTATGCAAAATATTAGTTTTACATTGAGAATTCAAATAATTAATCATTACTCATGATTTTGATCAATATGTCTTAAAGATTCTAGAGCAAGAAAAAAAAAACAATTTGTTACTAACCTGAGGAGCTATAAGTCTGTAATACTCCTCAACTGACTGAATTTTCTTTGGACAGCTAGCAATAAGACGACCCAATCCTTCACATTTCTGCCAGTCAGCGGTTCCGGGATTACCTGTATTTTCAAAAATTATGATTTACAGATGATTTAGATCATCTATATTCAAATTATGACAACTAAGACTTCAACAACGGATGACTGACATGAAAGAGAACTATAGGTTACACACTACAAAATGTTTCAAATATACATTATGAGCTAAGTAAATGTACTTTCATTTAATTCTATGAAACCACTGCTGCAATTTTACACCATTTATAATTGCAGAAGACCAAATATTGCTGCACATACAAGATTTGAGTAAAATGTTAAAGCAGTTTGAATGCATATATATATATATAAATATGAGAATAAATCAATTGTTTGGTTGCTTCTAACTCAAGATCTACTTGCCAGACATCAAGATGTGAAAATGGTTACCCCCTCCCCTCCATCTCCCAGCCCACCCAATTTACAAAAAAATTTCAAAACATGTATACCAACACCTGGATTATGGTTCTTTTTCGATACAAATTATGTAAGATATGAGCCAGATTTTCACCAGAATTAGTACGAAGGCAGACAAAACATTACACAGCAGTATCCAACGTTGGTTAAAACCCTGTGTACTGTCTTGCTTGCACTCTTCTTATGTATGCATTATTTTCAATTTACTGATACAAGGTATTATTCGTAGTAATAAGGATTTACTACCACCCTATATGTTTGATTGGACACATGCATGGACCTAACAAAATTATGAAATCTTAATTTCACATCATCATATATAAGTATTTACTTTGAATATTAATCAAAAAATATGATTCCACAGTACTATTACTATGTATACATCAAAATATTAGTTTAATTTTACAAGTTTCTACTTACAAGCAGTTGTGAGGAGCACACCTTTGACAGCCGCCATCACGCCGTTATGCTTTAAAAGTCTATCAGACAACACCTCACCACACATCAACTTCAGCCATTTCGGTGCTCGATGCGACACGCCCCCTTGTAGAACTATCAGTTCTTGAATTAACAGTGGTTGATACACTCTGTCTAATAACTTCTCAAACTCTAGATTGCACCAATCTTTCTCGTCTGGTTTCAGAAAAATCGCTTCTTTTCGCTGTTGTTCAGATAATCCACTTAAATCTTTCTTCCTTGGAGCATGGCATAATTGCAAAAAACATGCTAGAATGTCAGTCAAGTGTTTTGTTAAAATTACAGATGCCAGAGAAGCATGCCGGCAAAAAGACATCAACGATTTCACACAGAATAAAAGCTGGTAATCACAGTCAAACGCTGAAGTGGATCTACAGGGTATGCAAGATGCAAAATGCGTTCTCTTCTGTAGTGGAATTCCAACACCTGGAATCAGATTTGGAGCGATTCCAAAACAAACAATCAATTGTAAAACTGTTTGCAAAGTATGTTGCTCATCAATTCTTAACTGTGATTGGTTGGATGTTTTCAAAATATAAAATTCCAATAATTTCACGCAATATTGTACATATTTCCACTGTGTGTGTGTAGTATTGTGTAAGTCATTCCATTTATGTTCAGTTATGAGTTCCTCTAGCAGATCTTGGTGGTCTTCTTGTAGTCTTGTATCAACTTCCATCATGATGACATCCAGTGTTTTCAGCAGAGAATCCTCTGCCTGCATGTCTGTAATAAGATATAGTCTATTGAATAAAACATTCTGAGTAATGAATAATACGCTATGAGTGAAATTTCAATTGTTTGTTTGTTTCAATTGCTGAAGACTACAGTATGGTACAACATTTTTATAGAAGATATATTAAAGGATTCAACCTTAATAGCAGAAATATCATTTGATATTTTATGGCATAGGTCATGTGGTATTTGTTGGTCTAGGCTATGTGACATTTCCTGGTCTAGGTCATGTGAAATTTATAGGCCTAGGTCATGTGACATTTCCTGGTATAGGTCATGTGACATTTGTATTTTATCACATATTCAGTTACATACTTTGTTATGAAATGCCCAGCATAAAGGGCACATACATGTTGTAGACTGCATTTATTTAACAAAGAAGAAATTCATATAAATAATTTACAGCAATTCCAGGCACTGATTTGACGCTGAAGTAGTGCTAGATGTTGATAACTTAATAGGTTACACACTTTGTTTTCACATTTACATAAGTTGTAACTAGAAATATAAACATCGGCTGCAAATCAAGGGAATGATTGACAGATATTGCCCACAATGTTTTCTATTTTTGCTACAAAGTCAGGTACACCTAGACTTTGAGGTGCGTCTGTCTTTCATTCACTTTTGGTCGGTCATCAGGTCGATTGCGTGTCTACAAATCGGCATATGTCCAAGTTGTTTAAGCACCACGATGGAGAAGCAAAGAGTCAAAAAACCAGTTGAAGTGAGAACAAGAGTTGTCAATTCGTATTTTCGTGGACTGTCATTTGCTGAGATTAGAGATCGAAATGGTGTTTCAAAGCAGACAGCTTATAATATCGTCAAACGGTTTGTTACAACCGAGAGTTTCCTGCCAGGAAACTGACAACGTTATAAACTATGTCGAATATTTTAAACCATTGCGACCGCACATTTACGAACAGGAAATTTGACGAAAACTACTTGTGTACGGCAGCAACCCTCCTCGGACATGTGTTGCCAGTGATATTATTTGGTGGCACATCAACCTTTTGGTTTTCATCGTCGAGAACTAATAATCCAATAACACCCATTCTAATTATGTATTCAATTTCATTATTGATATACTGGATGAAGTCTCCATAGGACATTTGTTGCAGACAGTTTTCAGTTATATACATCGGCGTGATACGTACATTTCTATAGTAGGAATAATGCACTTTGATCAATAATTCTGTCATAATCAGTCGGTAAGCTGGTTCCGTAAAATAACGTTTTCACTGAAATAACATGTGACGCAAATTGAAGTACGAAACTAAGTTGAAAGCCTCAATCGTTTATTGGAGGAGAAATTCAAACCTAATGTACCGCCACTTTTATGGGCGGAGCTTTCTTCCAGTGCGCTTCAAATTGCAGACATGCTGTCTGCATTATTTGTAACAACTTCTGTAAATTTGAAAACAAAGTGTGTAACCACAGGGAGCCCAGGAACTATGATCAACTGTTACGAACCAGTTGAGTAAGGCTAACCAAGTCATGACCTCGATGTGGTTCGTAACCAGTCTTGTGATTGGTTGTTGACAAATGCTGAACAGGCCACGCCTCCAACTGAGCCGTGCGCAAACCGTTAGGAATTCCTAAATGGAGTCAATTTGTGTAGTTTTCTTGATTTATTCTGCAGATATCAGTAAAATGTAGGTAAGGCTTTGGCGAAATTTGAAGGAGCAAATAATATTCTTCAACCTGGTTATATTTTTCTGGTTTTTCGAGTTTAAAAAA